AGTCTGTTTGTTGCTGTTGCTGGGTTTTATTTTCTACAGTATGCACTACAGTATGCGTCTTCTGTTGTGTTTTTAATGGCTGCTGAAAACTGAGTTTCCCTTAAAGATACAACAGGGGGAAATGACTGGTGAAGTGCAGCAATAATGCATTTTACACACTTTCTCTCTCCATATACTCAAATAAGTATAGTGAAAATATATTTCAAATAAGTTTTCCTCTGTGCAAACACTGAGTGGCGGCACAGTGGTACCCTCTACTGACAAGCTGGCATTGGTGCAGGCAAGTGTGCAGTCCTCTTGATACGTCTGCTTGCCTTCTTGTGTGGGTGTGGGTGCGTGTGAAACCAGCTTGTACCTCATCTTCCCTGCATGCCTTTCCCTTTCTCTAGCATGCTCTTGACTCAACGCCATCCCCAGGGCTTAATCCTCTGATCAGCATGCCAGGAGAGCACAGGGGGGCCTGACTGGACCAGTGAAGGACAGGGGCCTTAGGTGACGGCTGGTTCCAGCCACTTTCTCAGATTGTCTCCGCCACATGTACTGATGTAGTGCGGCTTCAGCTTATTGTTGACCAAGGAGGTATAAGGGAACCACAGCCCCCACCTCACCACACCCAACCCATCTGCTCCCCATCCATCCTCCTCCTGTGACCCCCACTTCCATGGATCTAACAGCATGGAAGGGAAAGAACGAGTAAGGATTTTAAAAAACGTACATTGAGAGTGAAAAAAAAATCACACTTTATTACTTTTTATGCCTGAACAATGAACTGATCCTTCCAAAGACAGAATGTAATCGTAAATGTGGGGGGAAAATAACTTGAATTCCACTTTCCCTGGTCTGATGTGTCAGGTTCAAGTTACTTACCAGACAAAGACCAGGGTGAATAGAGTGACTTGAGAGACCAGGGGATGGAGGGGAGTTGCTTGGCACACAAACAATTAGCACTCGTCCCTGCATAGCTTGCCGTGGCCCCAAATCCCCACATTTGTCCAGACAAATTGACTGGACCCCGGGTCTTGTTTGTCTAGCTCTGTTGGCCTGCTGGAGAGGGCTTGAGGGCAATGGGGAATGCCCCCTCCACAGAGGACAACCCATGGGAACAGAACAAATAATCTGGCCTTCCAACACTACATTTGCCTTCCAACACATTTGTAAAATATATTAATTATGTGCTTGATTATGCACCTAACCACTGGTTACATTGTAGTTTAGCTGTGCGACCCAGAGACCAGAAGCACACTGAGTTATAGGATAAAAGAATAGGGACTCACACAGTGGAAATTGAGATGAAGTCTGTACACTGATTTTCAGAACCTCCCAAGTATAGTTATCGCGACAGTCCAGAAACAGCCAGTAGAAATGTTCATGTGCCAGGATTAATCTGCTACTGGACCCCACAGCAAAAATGATCTACTGGTCTCTTCTTTCTGAGCAATACACTTATTTTGGTGATTTTGATGCATTGTTTTGTTTCATGAATTGAATAAAAAATTTAAAATAAAAACAGCTGGCAAATGGCAATTCTTGTATTTGAAATTTTTTCCCCATTCTTCCTTGTAAAAGGCTTCTAGTTCTGCAATAATCTTTGGGGTGTCTTGCATGCTCAGCTCTTTTAAGATCTATCCACAGATTTTCAATTATTTTTAAGTCACAGGACTGTGACGGCGACTCTTTAGATAGTCCATGGGGGATTTCGAGGAACGTTTAGCATCATTATCCTGTTGTAGAAGCTTTCCTTTTTTTCAGCTTCAGCTTTTTTACAAGAGCTGTGATGGTGTGATGCTTCCACAATTTGCTGGTATTTAGTGGAATCCATTCTTCCCTCCACCAATGCAATGTTTCCTGAGGCACTGACTGCAACACAACCACGAAACATCAGCTCTGGACAGGGATTCCTAAGTCTGCAGGTTTTGCTTTTGCATTCCCATGGAGGTTCTGATCCCTTAAACTGCAATCACTTAACTAGATTTCACATTGTGGAAACTTAAAGCTGCATTGTGGACATCAGTGGCCATCAATAAGTTTCATTTTCAGTCTTACACAGCTGCTTAGAGGAACCTATGCTTACTGTACGTTCACACAAGGTTTGAAGAGTCAGAATACTTGTAAAGGGTTGAAATTTGCACCAGCTGACAACTCCTAATGATAATTGTTGACATGCCTCATGTTTAAGGAGCTGATGAAGGTCTAGGACCTCTTAATTTTGCTCTTGGAGTAAGAGTAAAGTAGTCGCAGTGGTTCCAAAAGTGGGTTCCACAGTACCCTTTAGTGCCTTGATGACAAGCGTGGTGCAAGATGTCATATTGTTTCACCACATAAAAAATAGCAACATTTACATGAACTATGTTTTATGTTTTCAAACATATCAAAACAGAAGAAAAAAACAATACACTGTATTCTATTTTGCACTCTTTGCAGTGTCTGTGTAACTGTTATATTCTTCCTGAAGGCAAACATTTTATGCTGGTGTGAAAGGAGCTGAGTGTCAGCCATGTTTTTGTAGCCTGAAAAATGTTATCCTGAATTCACAGTACATTTGTCCTACTTATGATCTAGACATCTGTTGGTTTTGTAGTTTTATCTAAGCATCAAAGTCTGTCTCCCTGGAATTATGTTTACACCATTTTTAAGTCCAGCTTCCAGTTTAGTGCCAGCGCAGGAAGTAGTAATCCATTTATGTAGTGAAGCAGAAAGTAAGGGTTTGAAGGTCAGTAGTGGATGGGAGACTGGAGTTTGTGTCCTGTAACATATTTACAATTAAAGGGGACCTGTTATGCTACTTTACAGCTCTTTATTTGTATTCTGGGAGTGCACTAGAGCAGCTTTGTATTTATATAAAAAATTCATTCATTTTTATAATGGGCCAGTTCATTATGCAGCCCCGCAGTTCAACGTCTACCTGAAACAGGTTGTTTTAGTAGCTGTCTCTTTAAGCCCCCCCCGTAAAAGCTCACTTTCTTGGAGGCCAGTTTGACGACAGAGAAGCCGAAGGTGGTTCTCCTGCTGGGTTTGGTCCCTGCCACCCCAGACCTGACCCTGCCATAACCCCCACTCAGGCCTCTGGACATGGGCGATGACTTATGCAGATCTCTGCCACAGCAGAAGTGGAGAAAAAGTCATGTGTAAAAAGACAACCAACTGAGTCAGCCTGAGTTATAACTGATGACTTTTGAACCATTAAAATGTATGTATGCATTTACATATTTGTCTACACATTACAAGCCTCAACACACTTGCAAATCTTTTTTTACAGATTTACAAATCTGATTTCGCACACACGGATTGAGTTACAGTCACACAACTCTCCACACATGTTTTTAAATAGTTTTGCTACAATAATGGCCCAATAAGCCTGAAGCCTGCTTACGGGGATTACTTTTACATACATTTACCTCATTATTTAAGAACTTTGGCCATATTTAATATGAACATCTGATATTGTAACATTGTACATAAGGGAAAGCCTGATAGGTCTCCTTTAATATTTTAGTTTTTCGCTGTTGTTTTTCTTTTTACTGTAATCACAAGTATTTTTAGTTGCTTAACTTTGGGTTCAGTCATTGTGGAGAAAGATAGGCGATTGTTGAGCGTCAAATACCTTGGGCAACCCAAAACATTAGTATATAAAAAAAATAGAAGATAGGATTAGACAAATTTAAGGATTCACATGATGCTAAAGAACTGGGTCTTCTTTACCTTTGCCATGAAATAAGGTGCAGTGTAGTTTTTGAGTTGTTCTAAATTGTATATTCCCACAATGTACAGCTGTTTCTGTCCTGTTTTGACTATCAAAAGAGGTACATTGACACTTGCAGTATGTCCTTGGATGGCTACTTTCAACATCAATGTTTATATTAGGCTGCCATCTAGTGCTTACTTTGGGAAAGTCTGACTCCACTATCCCCAGGTAGGCCTCTAAAACCTCAGACCAAGTAAAATAGTATCACCTTTTGTTCACCTTGTCAACAAAGACTAGGTGGGTTTGATATTTATATTAAATATCGATAATGGTTGTGTAACAATTTTGATATACCAAAAATCAAGTATCAACTATTCTCCCAATACCCCAGTTTTTGCAGGTCAGCTGTTGTTTTAAAGCACCTGTCTGCCATCTAGTGAATCTTTACGGTACAGTACACTTACTATATAATAGAAAGAAACGCCTCTCCACAACCTACAGAGTCTAACGTACCTTTATCACAAAACCCAAAGAAATTGCAAACTACTTGAATGATTACTTCAGAAGCAAAGTAGATAAACTAAGGAAATAATTATGTCATGGAACAGACAACAGCTTATCCATTGTCAACACAAAGAGCCTGAAACAATCAATCAAAAAAAGAAATAAGGAAACACCTTATTAACATCATATTTGTAGGACTATATAGGGGTAAATTGTGCAAACTTTACTCTTGCATGTTAATAAATAATAATATAATGATTAATGCATATTTTTAAAGGAATTGACACCACTATCAAGCATTATGTTTGTCATTTATTTTGATTGTAAGATTTAATGTATGTTTTTAAATGTGTTGATTTGTTTACATTGTACCGTTTTTAAATGTGGACTCCAGGAAGACTCGCTGTACATCAGGGCACAGCTAAAAGGGATCCTAACAGATAAACAAATGTTGCAGCTAGCTGAAAAAACTCTGGGCTAACATTTTTATTAGCGCAGAGTATATTAAAATTTATACATATATTTAAAATATTATTATAGATATTTATAATACATTTTTACAACTATGTTATCACTAGCTATTCATATTTTTATTTTCTGAAGGTTTTTAACACATTTTGAAATTGTTGAAAGTTGGAAGTTCTTGCCAGGAATTGGGACTGAGAAGATAATTAAATACAGCCACAAAAACGTAGAAATACAAAAGTCAATTTATTTAAAATTATTTTTATTATGTATTCAGTCATTTCTGGATTTTTTTTGTTTATTTATTAATAACTCATGGTGCATCACTATGAATGTTCCCCTAGGAAGAGCTGATTGTGATGGTCTTAGTACAACTGGTTGTCGTTGAGCCTGTGCTTGTGGTGGAAAGGAATGTTATTCGTCGTAGAGGAGGGGACGCTAGTTGTGGTTGAAGGGGTGTTTGTGGTCGTGGTAGAAGCAATGCTGGTTGTCGTAGTGGAGGGGGCACTGGTTCCTGTGGTCGAGGAAAAAGGGGCTATGGTTAAAGGTGCAATGGTTGTCGTAGTGGAGGGTGAGCTAGTTGTTGAGGTTGAAGGGGCATTTTTTGTTGTGGTTGAAGGGGAGATGGTTGTGGTGGTGGAGGGAGTACTTGTTTTTGTGGTCGAGGAAACAGGGGTTGTGGTTGAAGGGGCGATGGTTGTTGAAGTGGATGCTATGCTGGCTGTCGTAGTGGAGGGAGCACTGGTTCCTGTGGTCGAGGAAAAAGGGGCTATGGTTAAAGGTGCAATGGTTGTCGTAGTGGAGGGCGCGCTGATCATCGTAGTGGAGGGGACGCTGGTCATGGTTGAAGGGGCACTGGTCGTTGTGGAAGAGGGAGCGCTTGTTGTTATGGTGGAGGGGGCGCTAGTTGTGGTTGAAGGGGCATTCGTTGTTGTGGTTGAAGCTATGCTGGCCGTCGTAGTGGAGGGTCAGCTAGTTGTGGTTGAAGGGGAGTTGGTTGTGGTGGTGGAGGGAACACTGGTTGTGATGGTCAAGGAAACAGGGGTTGTGGTTGAAGGGGCGTTGGTTGTGGTGGTGGAAGCTATGCTGGTCGTGGTGGTGGAGGGAGCACTGGTTGTTGTGGTGGAGGGGACGCCGGTTGTGGTTGAAGGGGCGCTGCTCATCGTGGTGGAGGGGGCGCTGGTTGTGGTTGAAGGGGCATTTGTTATTGTGGTTGAAGGGGCGCTGGTCGTCGTTGTCGAGGGAGCATTGGTTGTTTTGGTCAAGGAAACGGGTTGTGGTTTATAGGGGCGATGTTTGTGGTGGTGAAAGCTATGCTGGTTGTCGTGGTGGAGGGAGCACTGGTTGTGGTGGAGGGGACGCTGGTTGCGGTTGAAGGGGCGCTGGTCGTCGTGGTGGAGGGAGCACTGGTTGTTGTGGTGGAGGGGGTGCTGGGTGTGGTTGAAGGGGCATTTGTTGTTGCGGTTGAAGGGGAGATGGTTGTGGTGGTGGAAGCTATGCTGGTCGTTGTACTGGAGGGTGAGCTAGTTGTTGAGGTTGAAGGGGAGATGGTTGTGGTGGTGGTGGGAGTACTTGTTTTTGTGGTCGAGGAAACAGGGGTTGTGGTTGAAGGGGCGATGGTTGTTGAAGTGGATGCTATGCTGGCTGTCGTAGTGGAGGGTGCGCTAGTTGTGGTGGAGGGGGCGCTGGTTATGGTTGAAGGGGCGCTGGTTGTGGTTGAAGGGGCGATGGTCGTCGTAGTGGAGGGTGAGCTAATTGTTGTGGTTGAAGGGATGGTTGTGGTGGTGGAAGCTATGCTGGTCGTCGTACTGGAGGGTGAGCTAGTTGTTGAGGTTGAAGGGGCATTTTTTGTTGTGGTTGAAGGGGAGATGGTTGTGGTGGTGGAGGGAGTACTTGTTTTTGTGGTCGAGGAAACAGGGGTTGTGGTTGAAGGGGCGATGGTTGTTGAAGTGGATGCTATGCTGGCTGTCGTAGTGGAGGGAGCACTGGTTGTTGTGGTGGAGGGGACGCCGGTTGTGGTTGAAGGGGCGCTGGTCATCGTGGTGGAGGGGATGCCAGTTGTGGTTGAAGGGGCGCTGCTCATCGTGGTGGAGGGGGCGCTGGTTGTGATTGAAGGGGCATTTGTTATTGTGGTTGAAGGGGTGCTGGTCGTCGTTGTCGAGGGAGCATTGGTTGTTTTGGTCAAGGAAACGGGTTGTGGTTTATAGGGGCGATGTTTGTGGTGGTGAAAGCTATGCTGGTTGTCGTGGTGGAGGAAGCACTGGTTGTGGTGGAGGGGACGCTGGTTGCGGTTGAAGGGGCGCTGGTCGTCGTGGTGGAGGGAGCACTGGTTGTTGTGGTGGAGGGGGTGCTGGGTGTGGTTGAAGGGGCATTTGTTGTTGCGGTTGAAGGGGAGATGGTTGTTGTGGTGGAAGCTATGCTGGTCGTCGTACTGGAGGGTGAGCTAGTTGTTGAGGTTGAAGGGGAGATGGTTGTGGTGGTGGTGGGAGTACTTGTTTTTGTGGTCGAGGAAACGGGTTGTGGTTGAAGGGGCGATGGTTGTTGAAGTGGATGCTATGCTGGCTGTCGTAGTGGAGGGTGCGCTAGTTGTGGTGGAGGGGGCGCTGGTTATGGTTGAAGGGGCGCTGGTTGTGGTTGAAGGGGCGATGGTCGTCGTAGTGGAGGGTGAGCTAATTGTTGTGGTTGAAGGGATGGTTGTGGTGGTGGAAGCTATGCTGGTCGTCGTACTGGAGGCTGAGCTAGTTGTTGAGGTTGAAGGGGCATTTTTTGTTGTGGTTGAAGGGGAGATGGTTGTGGTGGTGGAGGGAGTACTTGTTTTTGTGGTCGAGGAAACAGGGGTTGTGGTTGAAGGGGCGATGGTTGTTGAAGTGGATGCTATGCTGGCTGTTGTAGTGGAGGGAGCACTGGTTCCTGTGGTCAAGGAAAAAGGGGCTATGGTTAAAGGTGCAATGGTTGTCGTAGTGGAGGGCGCGCTGATCGTCGTAGTGGAGGGGACGCTGGTCATGGTTGAAGGGGCACTGGTCGTTGTGGAAGAGGGAGCGCTTGTTGTTATGGTGGAGGGGGCGCTAGTTGTGGTTGAAGGGGCATTCGTTGTTGTGGTTGAAGCTATGCTGGCCGTCGTAGTGGAGGGTCAGCTAGTTGTGGTTGAAGGGGAGTTGGTTGTGGTGGTGGGAGCTATGCTGGCCGTCGTAGTGGAGGGTGAGCTAGTTGTGGCTGAAGGGGCGCTGGTTGTCGTGGTGGAGGGAACACTGGTTGTTGTGGTCAAGGAAACAGGGGTTGTGGTTGAAGGGGCGTTGGTTGTGGTGGTGGAAGCTATGCTGGTCGTGGTGGTGGAGGGAGCACTGGTTGTTGTGGTGGAGGGGACGCCGGTTGTGGTTGAAGGGGCGCTGCTCATCGTGGTGGAGGGGGCGCTGGTTGTGGTTGAAGGGGCATTTGTTATTGTGGTTGAAGGGGCGCTGGTCGTCGTTGTCGAGGGAGCATTGGTTGTTTTGGTCAAGGAAACGGGTTGTGGTTTATAGGGGCGATGTTTGTGGTGGTGAAAGCTATGCTGGTTGTCGTGGTGGAGGGAGCACTGGTTGTGGTGGAGGGGACGCTGGTTGCGGTTGAAGGGGCGCTGGTCGTCGTGGTGGAGGGAGCACTGGTTGTTGTGGTGGAGGGGGTGCTGGGTGTGGTTGAAGGGGCATTTGTTGTTGCGGTTGAAGGGGAGATGGTTGTGGTGGTGGAAGCTATGCTGGTCGTCGTACTGGAGGGTGAGCTAGTTGTTGAGGTTGAAGGGGAGATGGTTGTGGTGGTGGAGGGAGTACTTGTTTTTGTGGTCGAGAAAACAGGGGTTGTGGTTGAAGGGGCGATGGTTGTTGAAGTGGATGCTAGGCTGGCTGTCGTAGTGGAGGGTGCGCTAGTTGTGGTGGAGGGGGCGCTGGTTATGGTTGAAGGGGCGCTGGTTGTGGTTGAAGGGGCGATGGTCGTCGTAGTGGAGGGTGAGCTAATTGTTGTGGTTGAAGGGATGGTTGTGGTGGTGGAAGCTATGCTGGTCGTCGTACTGGAGGGTGAGCTAGTTGTTGAGGTTGAAGGGGCATTTTTTGTTGTGGTTGAAGGGGAGATGGTTGTGGTGGTGGAGGGAGTACTTGTTTTTGTGGTCGAGGAAACAGGGGTTGTGGTTGAAGGGGCGATGGTTGTTGAAGTGGATGCTATGCTGGCTGTCGTAGTGGAGGGAGCACTGGTTGTTGTGGTGGAGGGGACGCCGGTTGTGGTTGAAGGGGCGCTGGTCATCGTGGTGGAGAGGATGCCGGTTGTGGTTGAAGGGGCGCTGGTCATCGTGGTGGAGGGGGCGCTGGTTGTGGTTGAAGGGGCATTTGTTATTGTGGTTGAAGGGGTGCTGGTCGTCGTTGTCGAGGGAGCATTGGTTGTTTTGGTCAAGGAAACGGGTTGTGGTTTATAGGGGCGATGTTTGTGTTGGTGAAAGCTATGCTGGTCGTTGTGGTGGAGGGAGCACTGGTTGTTGTGGTGGAGGGGACGCTGGTTGCGGTTGAAGGGGTGCTGGTCGTCGTGGTGGAGGGAGCACTGGTTGTTGTGGTGGAGGGGGTGCTGGGTGTGGTTGAAGGGGCATTTGTTGTTGCGGTTGAAGGGGAGATGGTTGTGGTGGTGGAAGCTATGCTGGTCGTCGTACTGGAGGGTGAGCTAGTTGTTGAGGTTGAAGGGGCATTTGTTATTGTGGTTGAAGGGGAGATGGTTGTGGTGGTGGCCGGAGTACTTGTTTTTGTGGTCGAGGAAACAGGGGTTGTGGTTGAAGGGGCGATGGTTGTTGAAGTGGATGCTATGTTGGCTGTCGTAGTGGAGGGTGCGCTAGTTGTGGTGGAGGGGGCGCTGGTTGTGGTTGAAGGGGCGATGGTCGTCGTAGTGGAGGGTGAGCTAATTGTTGTGGTTGAAGGGATGGTTGTGGTGGTGGAAGCTATGCTGGTCGTCGTACTGGAGGGTGAGCTAGTTGTTGAGGTTGAAGGGGCATTTGTTGTTGTGGTTGAAAGGGAGATGGTTGTGGTGGTGGAGGGAGTACTTGTTTTTGTGGTCGAGGAAACAGGGGTTGTGGTTGAAGGGGCGATGGTTGTTGAAGTGGATGCTATGCTGGCTGTCGTAGTGGAGGGTACGCTAGTTGTGGTGGAGGGGGCGCTGGTTATGGTTGAAGGTGTGCTGGTTGTGGTTGAAGGGGCGATGGTCGTCGTAGTGGAGGGTGAGCCAATTGTTGTGGTTGAAGGGGCGCTGGTTGTGGTGGTGGAAGCTATGCTGGCCGATGTAGTGGAGGGTGAGGGATTTGTGTTTGAAGGGGCGTTTGTTATCGTGGTGGAGGGTGCACTGGTTGTTATGGTGGAGGGTGCGCTGGTTGTGGTTGAAAGGGCAATGGTTCTGGTGGTGGAAGCTACGCTGGCCGTCATAGTGGAGGGTGCGCTGGTTGTGGTTGAAAGGGCAATGGTTGTGGTAGTGGAAGCTATGCTGGCGGTCGTAGTGGAGGGTGCGCTGGTTGCGGTTGAAGGGGCATTCGTTGTTGTGGGTGAAGGGGCGCTGGTAGTCATGGTGGAGGGAGCGCTAGTTGTTGTGGTGGTGGAGGGGGCACTGGTTGTGGTTGAAGAGGCGCTGGTCGTCGTGGTGGAGGGAGAACTGGTTGTTGCAGTCAAGGAAACTGGGGTTGTGGTTGAAGGGGGGATGGTTGTGGTGGTGGAAGCTACACCGCATTCCAAATTATTATGCACATTTGATTTAAATGTCATAAACATTTAATTTTTAGTTTTTCAATTAAACTCATGGATGGTATTGTGTCTCAGGGCTCTTTGGATCATTGAAATCAATCTCAGACAATTAGTTTGCCAGGTGAGCCCAATCAAAGGAAAACTACTTAAGAACGATGTTCCACATTATTAAGCAGGCCACAGGTTTCAAACAATATGGGAAAGAAAAAGGATCTCTCTGCTGCTGAAAAGCGTGAAATAGTGCAATACCTTGGACAAGGTATGAAAACATTGGATATTTCAAGAAAACTTAAGCGTGATCATTATACTGTGAAGAGATTTGTGGCTGATTCAGAGCACGGACGGGTTCGTGCAGATAAAGGCATAATGAGGAAGGTTTCTGCCAGACAAATTCATAGGATTAGGAGAGCAGGTGCTAAAATGCCATTGAAAAGCAGCAAACAGGTATTTGAAGCTGCTAGTGACTCTTTGAGTCCCGCGAAGCTCAAGGTGTAGGATCCTCCAGAGGTTTGCAAGTGTGCTCACAAGCAGAAACGGTTGCACATGGACTAATTTTCAAACCTTGTTGTTTACTGATGAGTGCCGTGCAACCCTGGATGGTGCAGATGGATGGAGTAGTGGATGGGTGGTGAATGGCCACCATGTCCCAACAAGGCTGCAACGTCAGCAAGGAGGTGGCGGGATCATGTTTTGGGCTGGAATCATGGGGAGAGAGCTGGTAGGTCAGTGTTGTGGTGGCCGGGGCTGCTGTGGTAACCGTCGTTGGCGCTGGGGCCACTGTGGTAACTGTTGTGGTCGGAGGGGCTGCCGTGATAACCACTGCAGTGGCGGGGGCAATAGTGGTCACTGCTGTGGTAACCGTCATCGCTGTCTGAGAGGTAAAGGGTGCTGAGTACACGCTGTCCTGCCATTGCCTCCTAATCTTTGCCTTCTGATGTAAGTGTTTTCTTCTCCTCCATCAGCAGAGGACACATCCACATCCATATCCAGTTCTGCGATCTGGTCTGAGAAGTGATAGACTGAGGCAGCTTTTGTAGGAGACGAAGTTCTCTTCTTGTTGCTAGTAAGGACCAGCCTACTTTTCCATATGGTACACACTGATGTGCATGATAGTTAATAATGATGATAAACTGCATGTTTTAAGGTGGAATGAGCAACATGAGAATAAAACATTATCCTCATAGTCAAGCACAGACATGATATTCAATTGCACAAAAGATGTTCCTGTGTTCTTTGGACATTCCAGTGACATCAAAATGTGTAGTTACCATCAACACATAAAGTTAGTCAAAAGTTACTTTTTTCAAGGACATTCTTGTGTTAAGTTTGGGAATTTCAATTATTTCTGCATACTGTAAAACTTCAATCAAAAGTAGGGTCCCAAATAGAAGTAGGTCTCCTTTACTAGCCAGGTGTGGCTGTGCAAGAGTTTTGTGCAAAAAGGAAAGAAAAGAAAAGCCTGGGCTATTAATTCAAGTTTTACGGCATGCTCTTTTCCCAGTATAATGTCCATGAAAAATCGAAATGTTCATATAATTTAATTTGCAATGACATAGTGTAAGTAGAACGATATAGCCCCTCATCCGGCTGACTTCCAGAAATTCTTTCACAAGTGAAGTTATAAAATATCACTACAGTGCCTTTACCTTGAAAAGGGTGTTCAAATTGTACTGAAATATGTGGATATAATTTTCTGTATGATGCGTAAACAAGCTGTTACAGTAAATAGCTTGTTTGACTGCACACATTAGACTGAGCCACAAACATCACAATGGGAAAGTCCAAAGACCTTCTCTTTAGCAGGGTCTGGAAGAAAACCAACAGTCTGCCATGATTTAGAAGCTGTTTTAACACCGGTGTCGCTGTCCTCAGTGAAACACGTTCTACATCACTATGCATTTGAAAGGCCACAAGCACCTTAAACTTAACTCAAGTTTGCTCACATTGACAAACAAGAACCTTCTTGGGGAGAGTTTTGTGGTCTGGTTATTTTGCCAATGACAATGAGCAGATTTAGAGGAGAAAAGTTGAGGAATGCAACCCTAAGACTATTAGTATCATGCTCTGGTCCTTTGTATTAAAGAAAGTGCCAAGCACAGTGGTCAAATATCCAAACTTAATTTTGCCAAAAGTTTGTTGATGGCTACCAAAGGGCGTTGTTGGCAACGGAAAAAAGGACGAACGATCAAATTCTCGCTGTTCAAAAAAGTGCATTTTCCAGTCAGACTGTTAGAGAAAATATATTTTAATCGTCATCCCAATACAGACATAACATACAGGTCCATTACAAGTATGTACATTTTTTACAACAACTTTATGCTGTAGTAACAGTAATTTCTGTATTTTATACATTTATTGATTAAAACCCAATTTTGACTTCCATTCTGTAGCTGCGCTCTACGGAGGGGGTCGGGGTCGTCGTGGTGGTGGTGGGGGCAGGGGTCGTCGTGGTGGTGGGGGGCAGGGGTCGTCGTGGTGGTGGTGGGGGGGGGGTGGTCGTCGTCGTGGTGGGGGCAGGGGTCGTCGTCGTGGTGGGGGGCAGGGGTCGTCGTCGTGGTGGGGGCAGGGGTCGTCGTGGTGGGGGCAGGGGTCGTCGTCGTGGTGGGGGCAGGGGTCGTCGTCGTGGTGGGGGCAGGGGTCGTCGTCGTGGTGGGGGGGCAGGGGTCGTCGTCCGTGGTGGGGGGGGCAGGGGTCGTCGTCGTGGTGGGGGCAGGGGTCGTCGTCGTCGTGGTGGGGGCAGGGGTCGTCGTCGTGGTGGGGGGCAGGGGTCGTCGTGGTGGGGGCAGGGGTCGTCGTGGTGGGGGCAGGGGTCGTCGTGGTGGGGGGCAGGGGTCGTCGTGGTGGGGGCAGGGGTCGTCGTGGTGGGGGCAGGGGTCGTCGTGGTGGGGGGCAGGGGTCGTCGTGGTGGGGGCAGGGGCGGTCGTGGTGGGGGCAGGGGTCGTCGTGGTGGGGGCAGGGGTCGCCGTGGTGGGGGCAGGGGTCGTCGTGGTGGGGGCAGGGGTCGTCGTGGTGGGGGCAGGGGTCGTCGTGGTGGGGGCAGGGGTCGTCGTGGTGGGGGCAGGGGTCGTCGTGGTGGGGGGCAGGGGTCGTCGTGGTGGGGGCAGGGGTCGTCGTGGTGGGGGCAGGGGTCGTCGTGGTGGGGGCAGGGGTCGTCGTGGTGGGGGCAGGGGTCGTCGTGGTGGGGGCAGGGGTCGTCGTGGTGGGGGGCAGGGGTCGTCGTGGTGGGGGCAGGGGTCGTCGTGGTGGGGGCAGGGGTCGTCGTGGTGGGGGGCAGGGGTCGTCGTGGTGGGGGCAGGGGCTCGTGGTGGGGGGGGCAGGGGTCGTCGTGGTGGGGGCAGGGGTCGTCGTGGTGGGGGCAGGGGTCGTCGTGGTGGGGGCAGGGGTCGTCGTGGTGGGGGCAGGGGTCGTCGTGGTGGGGGCAGGGGTCGCCGTGGTGGGGGCAGGGGTCGTCGTGGTGGGGGCAGGGGTCGTCGTGGTGGGGGCAGGGGTCGTCGTGGTGGGGGGCAGGGGTCGTCGTGGTGGGGGCAGGGGTCGTCGTGGTGGGGGCAGGGGTCGTCGTGGTGGGGGCAGGGGTCGTCGTGGTGGAAGGAGTGTTGGTCGTCGTCGTGGTGGAGGCAGGGGTCGTCGTGGTGGAGGCAGGGGTCGTCGTGGTGGAGGCAGGGGTCGTCGTGGTGGAGGCAGGGGTCGTCGTGGTGGAGGCAGGGGTCGTCGTGGTGGAGGCAGGGGTCTGTGTGGTGGAGGCAGGGGGTCGCTCGTGGTGGAGGCAGGGGTCGCTGGTCGTGGTGGAGGCAGGGGTCGTCGTGGTGGGAGTGGTGGAAGGAGTGTTGGTCGTCGTCGTGGTTGAGGCAACACTGGTCGTCGTTGAGCCCGCGCTCGTGGTGGAAGGAGTGTTAGACGTGGTGGAGGGGGGGGCTGGTCGTTGTGGTGAAAGCCATGCTGGTTGTTGTGGAGGAGGGGGCGCTGGTCAATGTGGTGGAGGAGGGGGCGCTAGGCGTTGTTGAGGAAGCCACGCTGGTCGCTGTGGTGGAGGAGGGGGCGCTGGTTGTTGTGGTTGAAGCCACGCTGGTCGCTGTGGTGGAGGAGGGGGCGCTGGTTGTTGTGGTTGAAGCCACGCTGGTCGCTGTGGTGGAGGAGGGGGCGCTGGTTGTTGTGGTTGAAGCCACGCTGGTCGCTGTGGTGGAGGAGGGGGCGCTGGTTGTTGTGGTTGAAGCCACGCTGGTCGCTGTGGTGGAGGAGGGGGCGCTGGTTGTTGTGGTAGACACAACACTGGTTGAGGTGGATGGGGCTGCGGTTGGGACCATTGTGGTGGCGGGAGCTGCTGTGGTCGTCGTTGCAGGGGCAGCTGTGGTAATCGTTGTACTAGGGGCTGCGGTGGTCACGGGGACTGGCGTGGTCACGGTCGTCGTGTCGGGGGCTGCTGTCGTGGTAGGAGCAGCAGTAGTAATAGTCGTGGGAGCTGTAGGTTCTGTAATCTCTGTGTCTATTCCAGTGTATGGATCTTCAGGAATTTCTTCAAATCCCCACAACAAATAAAATCCTGCATCATCACTTTCCTCCAATGTATCAGTTTCAGAGCTGTCTGTTGCCTGTGTTGTGTCTGGATCAAATGGTTCAACGGGAACTTCCTCGAAGTCCCACAGATCGAATAAATCCGGTTCCTCCAGAGCTCTCCCAACACGATGCCTCACTTTTTTTTGGTCACAGACAGCCAGCATTGTGCACAGTTTCCCAGTAGAGTCAACATAAACTAGTTCAAATCCAGAATCCTGTCAACAGTCATAATGTTAGTTTTCAAATAAATGTAACAATTTAAAAAAAAAAATAAATAAAAAAAAAGTGTATAACATTCACAATCCATTGGCAGGAGAAACTACAGTTGGCGAGGCGAGGGCATTGCAATCAGCAACTACACCACTAGGATCCCACTAAATCCTGCGCACTGGACCTTTAACACGTTTTTCACCTGACTTACCGTGTCTGATAACTTGGATATCTGCACAAACAAAGCATTGGGGGTCTTCCGTTGTATCACTGAGAATCCTTCATGAGTGAAAAAATCTGCCAAAAGACCAGACTCAAATGTCAAGAGATTTAAGTGTGTTCTCAAATCACAGGTTATAAACTTCATAATTATGGTTCAAGCAACAAAAATCGTTGAGAAATGAAATAATTTCTACTCGACATCAATTTTTCCAAACATGTTACACTGGATTTCATGATAGGACGTTACAACAGAATTGTCCATTGTATAAGCAGCTCAGTTATTTCAATTTGAACTGCAAATAAATTTGTAAAAGTGGCCTTCCCATCCACTACATCTGTTACATAAATTTGAGTATAGCAAATGACAGATAAGATATCTATTGTAGATGAATAGTTCAACATTTTGGAACACATTCTTATTGTTTTCTTTCAGAGAGCGAAACGTGAAGATCAACATTCATGTCATGTCTCTGTGTTAAGGGCAGAGCTGGTCAGGACATGGTAAGCTTATTTTGGTCAGCCAAAGCATAGGTAAACAGCTCACCTGACTTGATCAAGCAAAAACATGCATACCAACACCTTTAAAGCTCACAAATCACCTTCCATTTTGTTTGAAAAGAGAAACAAGCGAGAGATGGCTAGATTTTGAAAGTATTCAGCCAAACAAATCCCACCCCCTCCCTTAAAAGTGTTGGGGAGAGGAGCACAGTGCATTGTTGTCAACGCCAACGTATCCAGCTACCTCAGGAAGCTGCATACAGTCACTGCACCAGGCATTTTGCTTAAAAGATAATGGTTAAGTATTCACTCCACAACCCTGTGTATGGCAGCAGCTAAGTAAAAGTTGTAAAACAAGAGAGCATAGTGTGAGAAATGGATCAAGTTCATTTCTGTTAACACTGAGAAATTCATGACGGAAACCTTCCAGCTTTAAAAACGCCAACACACTATTAAAAAGAGATGCTTGAATGTGTGAACATTTCTCTAATAAAAATAAATTTGCAATTTCTATTCTTGCACAAAAAAAAAAAAAAAAAAATAATAAAATATATATATATATATATATATATATAAGCACTCTCAATGATTCATGTCCATTTGTATTCTGCATCAGGAAAGTGTATCTCTCACCTTGTTGAGTTATTCTGCCCCCTCGTGACCAAATACGATAACTTCACCTTAATGTTATCATTGAAGACTTGAGAAATGCACGCTCCAACTTTCTAGTACTTACCAAGCTCTTTTACCTTCCTCAGTTTTGTCCCATGAGGCAGCTTCACAGTGACATGTGTAGTTCTACAAGTCACCAGTGGTGGCGCCGCTTGTGGCAAAACTACTGGATTCTCACAGACGGCCATGCCTGTCATGGCTTCCTGCAGCAGATGGTCGAAATAATGCAATTTGACTGGGTGGTATCCAGTTCCATCTCCAGGCTGGGAATTTAAAAAAAAAATGTTGAAGGAGGAATCATAAAAGAAGCTAAATGAATGCATTTACTAAGTATTGCAATAATTGTTACCCGTATTGCTGTGTAGCAGCCAGTAGGAAGCTTCACCAACAACCACCACCTATAAATACTAATGGAGCTGTGACACCTGTCAGGCAGTGACAACAACTGGACCCCATCTGTGGAAAAATATACATAAGTAGGCTACTCAGTACTCATGAATCTTATTTTATGGTTTGCATGTTGTACAAAAATCAGTTCACAGACAGAGATACACAGTGATAATACAAGCCACACTGTCATGGATGGTGAAAATGATGTAGGTGGCCAAATCAAACACACCTTCAAGACGCAGATTTGAGTATCGGATGAGTGAAAAGCGCAGGAAAAGTGTTCCATTACTGCAGCGATACTGTGGCTGGTTGATATCTGACATCTCTGAAACCAGATAAGACAAAAACACTGTAAAATGATGTCAGAGGAAACCAAGCAAGTCTGTGCTACTGTACAGGAAATGAGGCACCTTCACACTTCTACAGGAATGGCACAAGCTTTGGATAGTGGTTTAAAATTATTCATGACAGTTATTGAAAATAGTGAGAACTGCAACGTTGGTTTTGAAAAGTATACAGATAAACTTTATAAATCCATATAGGCCTACCTTCATATAGCCTACAATTTGTTTCTGCACATCTTATCAAGAGGAATAAAGACATATACAGATTGCACGTTAATGCCAGGTGTAAATGGGGTCTGACTGTGGTTGCAACAGTCTAAATCTGCTAAAGCTCTCAAAATCACTTATTCCATTATTTTTCCAGTGAACAGTCATGATTCTGCTCTTCCAAATCAATGTTAGTTGTTGCCACAGGTCTACCACTAGTAGCAGGATGTGAGGCTTCAGGTGCTACTTTTGAAGGCAAGTTGGAAAGCAGGAGATGACTGGTGCTGCCGTTGGCCTATAGTACAGGTTATCTTTGTTAAACAGTAAACGGATTATGCCAGCCTGAATCAAGACTAGAGCTGTAATAGTTAAATGATTAATTGATTAGCCACTATTTTTATAATTGAGTAACTGCTTAAGTCAGGTTTCAGTCAAAACTGTCAAATATATATGGTTCCAGCTTCACTACTACTACATTTTATGATGTTCTATTAATAGACTAAACAACAGATTGAGAAAATAATCTTTAATGGAAATAATGAATAAATTGACTATAATATTGAAGTAGCCTACTTAGATAGCCTACAAATGTCTACAATGCAAATAAGAATGATGATATAACATACATACATATATACACAAGGTTTAGTTTTACTTACTCCTTTCATGATGATAAAGATGGGTGCTAGAGGTCAGCAGCGGGTCTTCAACATGAAGGAAATTCCAGACCGGTGCTCGGAAACTTCGGTCCGAATCTTCTGGTGCCGCAAAAAACAGCTGCTGGAAAAGCTCGTCCTGACCGGCCAAATGTCCGTGTGCGTCCCGGTGGCTCTCTGCGTTGTTGAGCTGGGCTAGTGTTAATCCGATGCAAACCCAAGCCATCAGTGCGGAACCCATGGTAGCGCTCCGCTCGGATTCTCTCTGCCGTCAGGTGAGACCAAAGTTGCCGACTGGGAAAATGAACTCGCCGCACAGCTGCGCCCTTAAATCTGGTTCATTAGCGCCAAAAGCTGCACAGGTGCGTTCACTTGGAAGTCTAATTAGGCGGTGGGAAGGTGTGTTGTACTGCTGTTATGGGATTTAACAATAAACTATAGTGTCTGTGTTTATCTTAACGAAGGAATTTGAATGCCACAAGTGCAAGTGTGTGGCTCATTGATAGTTAATAAGATCCATAAGATACACACTCTCCAAATAGAAGGTGTTATACAGCGTTATAGTGGACCAGTATGATTCCTTATGGACACACAGAGCTCGGCTGATCTCGGATGTTTGCAGGGTCCGGTTTGGTTTTAGGCCTATTATTATTATTATTAGTAGTAGTAGTAGTAGTAGTAGTAGTAGTAGTAGTAGTAGTATTTGATAGCAGACCCTGATCACTTGGGAATACCAGGTGCTGCAAGCTTTTTCTTCTCCTCTTTCGTCAGCAGATGGCGCTGCTCCTTCTTTAGTCAGAAGTGGTAACTGTTTTATTTTATATCATTCCATCATTTTACTGTTTTTTTATTGATCTCATTTTTATTTAATACATTGTTGTATTCATATGTAACAGGAACAGGTGTATATAGCATATCCATATATTTATAGTTATGTTTCAGATTGTAATTGTATTGTTTTAAGATTATGTGATAGTCATTATGCACAACTATAAATGTGTGTGAAATAAATTGTATCTACTATTTCACTTTGATTTGTATTATCAGAAAACTTTATTTTTTCTTCTTATCTGTATCCTGTTCCTGCAGTTCAGTCATTGGGATCAGTAAAGTTTTAATGTTATTTTGGACAATAATAATACAAAACATTTTTTACGTTTTAGGTTTATTACTGGGACAGCTTGTAGAGATTTGTTTTAACTCTGACATTACAGGACTTGCTGTTACTTATTTGTCACGGCTAAAAAATCATATTTACATTCACTGGGATTTAATATGCCAAGAAAAAAACACGTGAAATGACCGGTGTTGGTGTACTTTGACAGGCCCTTCAAACTGATTGAAAAGCATCGTTCACAACGTTGCTGTATCTCACACCTACAAAAAGTTATTGTCAGAAGTGGGATTCGAACCCACGCCTCCATTCGGAGACCAGAAGTCCCATTCACAGGAAGGTTTGTCACCTTGAGTCTGGCGCCTTAGACCGCTCGGCCATCCTGACAATTGTGCTTAAAGTGTAGCTAGAAGGCTGTTTGACTGCTGCTAACTAACGTTTACAGATAGTCTTTTGTTGTGTTTCTGGAAAACAAAACGCTTTTAAAGTGGATAAGATTGAGAGAGAGAGTACAACCGAAGTCATCAGCTGAGTAAGTTGAAGTTATAGGCTAACTAACGTCAGACATGTCACTTTAAGACTAGTTTTAGCTGAAACTCATAAAACACGTCTAAATAAGCGATACACTGATAATACTTGTTAGAGGGTGAAATTACAACGTTAGCATTTAAAGAGAATAGAAGGGAAATAAACGTAGTCACCAAACAGACATTTCACACTGCTGCGTAACAGTAACTATAAAACACACATGTGTATGTGATACTCTCGCTTACGGCCATACCACCCTGAACACGCCCGATCTCGTCCGATCTCGGAAGCTAAGCAGGGTCGGGCCTGGTTAGTACTTGGATGGGAGACCGCCTGGGAATACCAGGTGCTGTAAGCTTTTTCTTCCTTCATCAGCAGAGGGCGCTTCTCCTTCTTTAGTGGATGGATGGATGGATGAGTGGCCTGCTTTATTACACGAGTCTATTTATTCAGCACAGTGGGAGACTGAAGCATTTCAGAAGCCAAGTCACACAATAACAGGACACACAAATAGTTAGATAGGAAATATAACAATATATAAATAATTAAAACTGTCAGGAAAGCAAAGCTAACAATATTTGTTTGTTTTGTTTTTAATTGGTATAACATTCATGACATTCATTTGTTAAGATAATTAGAAATATAACAATGAACTACGAATGAACATTCAGTAAAAAAAATTGTGACACATATTATGGAAATTAATTAATTTATTATTTTGGGATGTCTATTATATCTTACTATAAGAGTCAATGTTACAAAAATATACAAAACATGATTTCCCAAATGTACATTTGTGTAGAAAGTATTTGCCCTGGAGGACAATTATGTTGCCAACAAATTGCCATTCTGAACCTACCTTACTCTATGATCATAAATACCAAATATCAAATGTTCAAATTGAAATGTAAAGTCAGATACTAAGTGTGTTTCCCTGGTGGAGTTAATGTTGAGATGGAGGCGCAGCTCTGGCAGGGCGGCTACCGCTGTAACCATAAAGTTGGGTAAATTTACAACATCCAGCAGTTAAATAAAAAATACAAATGGTGTCAAAGTACAACATCCAGCAGTTAAATAAAGGATACAAATGGTTTCAAAAGGTATTGTCAGAAGTGGGATTCGAACCCACGCCTCCATTCGGAGACCAGAAACCCCATTACACTGGAAGGATTTACCTTGAGTCTGGCGCCTTAGACCACTCGGCCATCCTGACAACCATGCGAAATCGGCCGAAGCAAACAATTAAATATTTGTAATTCTGCGTTATTAAGTTAATATTCGCTGTTTATATTGATGTTTTGGTTGTTGTTTCTTCCATTTAAGGGCTTTGAAATCCGTTAGTCAAGCTCAAATTTACACGTTAACCTCAAAGGACCGCCTGCTGGATGTGTAGCTCATTGACAGTATATATAAGGTGTAGCCATTTACCCATGTTGACAGTAATAAACGTATAACGTTATATCCACCAGGGGCGCTGTATTTCCGGTGGTGGTACATGTGACTGACTCCCCGCCCATCTTGGTCTATTACTACATAACTGCCACCAGTCGTGCTTATGAAACGAAAACATTGGACTCGTCAGTAACAGTATATAAAAGGACTCGACTGTACACCGTTTGTAGACACATTAAGAAGACACATTTGTTTTAGAAATGTCCATTTACAGGAATGCCGTTTGGTTTGTGAAAGGACTCCAGGAGTATACAAAGTAAGTGGAGAGTATTTTGTTCTGCTGAGCCCTTACAGTTTCACGTTAAGTCATCAAATCTCTCGTAGTGTTTATGGTTTGTACAACATTTACCTAACCCTGCTTATGTAGCTAGTATTAACCTTGAGGACAGTTGCTGGTTAACTAGCAGCGGTTACACAATGCTGTACAGTATATATACAGCTGAGACTGTAGTCTATTAAATGTCAATAAGTGGTAGAGATCTCATTACACTTTCCCAGAGCTCAAGTGACTTCTCCCTCATTTACTATTTGTTATTTATTATATATTATTATTTTTATTGTATTACTTAGCTATACAACTGTCAATAAGCAGTAAAATGTCACTTTTAAGAAGCAAGAGGCAGTCATGGTTTGACACTTTTGCTTGATCAATGACTTATATGATTACTCATATAGTCACATAGTTTTTAGTCAGCCTTTTGTACCAATGAGAATAAAAAGCCTAACAGTGCTGTTAGGGGCTACTGGCTGAAGAGCAGTGTTTTACCGTCCTCTCAGGTTGAAAGTTTGAAGTCTGCCTCACCTTTGAGCACGGCCAAGCACATCTATCAGGGATGGACATGCCTGTATGTGTAGTGTATTTACTGTATTGCTTTTTGATCTTAACAGGAGTGGCTATGAAGCTGCAGCCAAGCATTTTGCTCCAGCAGACCTGGATGTAAACCTGAGTGGGAGGTCCTTCATGATAACAGGTGCCAACAGCGGGATAGGGAAAGCTACAGCGCAGGAAATTGCCAGCAGAGGTGAGTGTTTGAATGTCGACAGTTGTCACAGGTCAGTTTTCTCTTCTCTTTTTCCCCTCTAAGCTCGTCTGTAAGAGCTACAAGGTGTGGCAGCAACATACTTGTCCGACATGCCTTCAATGTATGGACCAATTCATTGATTGACTGACACCTCATCAGTGCAGCCCTGGCTTGTCCACTGATGTGGTTTTATTTTTGGGTCTGCAGGGGGAACCGTTCACATGGTGTGTCGAAACAAGGGGCGAGCAGAAGCGGCCAAAGATGAAATTGTGGAACGGAGTAAAAATCAGGTGAGAATTGTGTGTCTGTCCCAGAGGACATTGAAAAGCCGTCTGAGGCAGATTTGGGATTTGGGGCTATATAAATATATTTGAGCACGCGAAGAGTCCCTCTGCTCATAGGCAGCTGTAACATGTAATATTAATTTGGCACCTTTGTTCAAAGCATTAAGCTGTAATGTTTTTTCTAAGATAATAATGTCCTCTTATATTAACTGTTTATTTTAGGACATTAAATGGATGACAATCATTTGTTTTCATCGAAAAGCACATTACACAATACTGCTGTAATTAAATAAGAGATAACTGTTGAAGATAGAGCCAACAAATATTGCAGAGTTAATTAATATTTCTGTAAATTGACATGTTTTATATGTCATAATGTAATGTGTTGTTAGCGAGCCAAAGAAGGCCAAGTTCCCTGTTTAAAACTCAAATTTAAGAATCTGCTTTTCTTGGTGTTATTTCATTGTAAAGTGAATTTCTTTTGAACTTGGTCGGACAAAAGACGTCACAGTCGGCACTGGGACCTTGGGATGGTCCTTTTTCACTGTTTTTGATGTTTATTAAACAACCAACAGTTTCATCAAGTATAGGATGGGCATAGTAGGAGAATAGGAGAACCCTATCATTGCCATTTTCAGAGTTTATGAAAAGAGGTTGACAGTATTTATGTTTTCTGTTCAGAATGTTCACGTCCACATCGTTGACATGTCCAGCGCAAGACAAGTGTGGGAGTTCACCCAGAACTTCTCACAAAACAACACTGTACACGTACTGGTAGGTGATATGTAGCTACGACTAATGTAGCTTCATCTGTAACACACTCACTGTAGTCACTGAATCACTTATGTATCTGTTCACCAGATAAACAATGCAGGCTGTATGGTGAACCAGAGAGAGTTGACTGAGGAGGGTTTGGAGAAGAACTTTGCCACAAATACACTCGGTAAAGTATTTTCAAGACTAGTTCCAATGTACCTGAGTTTAGGTACCAATTCCAAACAATACTTTTTTGACATCTTGCTTTGAGAAATGAAAACAGGTCAAAGTTCTTAAATGTTAGTGTGAAATTTTAAACAAGAACTGTGTTTTCAATAGTCCATCAGCACCACGGACAAAAAGACAGAAAGATCTCTCTTTCTTTTTGACAAATTAAGAAAAGTCTCAGCAATTGTCTTAAGAAAAGTGGTGTACAACTACTTTGTCTAAAGTACTGCATAAATTTAAGAGCCTATTGGTTTAAATCCTTAAATAATATAAAAGATTTGACTTAGAATTTGGTCCTTGAGAGCTTTTGATGCCCAGTAGTCAAAAATAGTGGAGTTCGCATTGTCAGCTATAGCCAATGTTGCTTATCTGTGCTTACCTTTATTTTCAGGAACGTACATCCTCACCACAGCATTGATACCTGCACTGAAGAAGGTTGAAGACCCGAGAGTGGTGGGTTGAATTTCAACTGAAGAAAACACTCATCATGTCAAAAATAATGATCACGTTGTGGAAAGTTAAACATGCTTTTCACTGTCGGACCTATGAACAGGTCACGGTGTCGTCAGGTGGCATGCTCACACAGAAGATGAACGTGGACGACCTCCAGTTTGAGAAGGGGACGTTTGACGGCACCATGGCCTACGCTCAGAACAAAGTAAAGGAGACTGATTTACAGCAACAGAAATGACTGAGGCATGTATCCATGTTTGATGAAGTGTTTTTTGTGTTGTCATTTTGACAGAGACAGCAGGTGATTCTGACAGAGAGATTGGCCTCTCAGCACAAAGAGATCCACTTCTCCTCCATGCATCCCGGCTGGGCAGACACACCAGGTAAACAAAAGCATATGTCACCCCCTCCACTCAAAACTCTGGCAGCGGACAGCATGAAACCAAACAAATTAAGACGGCACCTGGAGACCTTACACCCCAGTTATGTCAAAAGGCCACTGGACTTTTTTCATCGAAAACTCGATGAGTATCGCCAACAGGCCGGTCATTTTGTGAGTGCGGCATCAGTAAATAAAAACGCACCGTTAGCCTCGTACAAAGTTGCCCACCACATCGCAAGGTGCAAAAAACCACACGATAGTATCATAATCATAGGTGAGAAAAGTGCTGAGACACTGAATACTGTCCCTCTTTCCAATGACACAGTCGGGAGACGTATATTTGACATTTCAGACGACCTCACAGAACATCTAACAGACAAACGTTAAATATAAATAATATTGTTGCAAATTCTGCACAAAAAAAACAAATGTTATAAAGTCATAAACCTTTTTGAAAAGGAATAAGTTGATGAAGCTGACAAGTGACTAGTGTTTACAGTTAAAAAAAGTTTTGAATGTTACTGTGTTAAGTCTATAAAAATGCACATCCCAGTGAATTATTTGCACTTTTTTCTCTGTTTAGAGAATCACACAGACTGAGCAGTCTTGTTTAAATGTTACAAATTGAGTTAATAAACTGAACTTGGAAATTGTTTTTAGTTGTTGCAGATGTTATCTCAGCTCATTTTATTAATCATTTTGATAATCAGGTGATTGTATGCAGAATGTTGGTGCCAGCAACTCATATAGTGGTTTGTACAGATAAATAAATACATATTATCAGGTTCTCAATAGTATTTCAATTCGGGGCGCAAAAATTTCTGTCCCCTAGGGGGGGGCATGACAGAAAATAATTGAGAACCACTGCTATAGTTGGATGTTCGAGCTTCACTGTGCAGAATGATGTCTGTGCAGAGTTTGACACTAGAAGGATGTTTTCACATTCATCTGCTGAAAGTGGAAAGTTTTTCTGTACTCATTGAAAATTTTAGTGAGATATTGTCAGAAAATAGTGAAAAATGCCCACCATAAGCTCCCAGACACCTAGGTGACATCTTCAGATTGCTTGTTCTGTCAATGTAGTGGCAGGTTTACCAGATTTCTATGTCCAAGGCCAGTTGTTCTGCTATGTATGCCACAGTTTTGACCTTTGTGTACTTAATTATAACCACTTTCTTGTGAAATAAACATACATTCACAAATCCAGGAGGCAGGGAAGCGTTGTAGGGTGGTAAAGAAAAACAATTACTTGTAAAACAACTTGTGCCTTTTATGAGTGTGTCAGTAAAGTGGGCCGCAGAGCCAAATGTGATATTGTCTTAAGCTTTGAAATATCCCTCTTTGAGATTTCAAAGGACATTTACTGTTTGAAAATGCTTACAAGGTTTCTTTTTGACTTTGTCTCTGGCAGCAGTTTTGAAGGACCGGTTTAGCTGCTCCTGTTCTAAACACAGCGGAATATAAATCAATAATAATAATGATTAATTATGATTAATGACAATAAACACATCCTAAATACCACAGTATTGGCACAGACAGTGAAACAAAATCAGCGCTGTGTACTTTGTTGCACACTGTTATAAAGACAGTGAATTATACCCTCTGACTTACACCCACAGGTGAAAGGAAACATTGCCTCTGTGATTAGCAGTTTTGTTTTTCTCTCTGTAGCTGTCCAGACGTCCATGCCTTCATTCCACGCTAAGATGCAGTCCAAACTGAGGACAGAGGCCATGGGGGCTGACACCGCGGTGTGGCTCGCTGTGTCTGCAGCCGCCATAAAGCAGCCAAGCGGACTCTTCTTCCAGGGTCAGAAACAAATCACATTCAATTTTTCTGTCTCAACTTTTCATCTTGTTAATCAGAGTCAAAGAATAACTCAGGGTAGAAAAATATTTTTTATATTGTATATTATCTATATTGTACACTTACACAAAGTAGGTGTTGTGTTCAAACTTTCTTGTTTACATTTGTTAGATTTCAAAAGATTTAGAGTCAATAGACCTTTTTCTTTCTTTGTATAACCAAGTCAGGGTGCTGCTATTGTGCATGTTGGCTCACTTAAAAGTTCTGCTACACTAAATGGAACGGAAACCATATTTACCCTACTATTTCATGACTGCTGTGAAAAAGGTCTATTAACAAATATAGAATTCTGGATTCAGATGTAATGAATTGCTACTGAAGCCCAGCCCTAGAGGCTTGGATTATGTTTTGCTGGGTCCTGATGGAGACTCTAATTTCCCACTGTGGGTGTTTCAGAAGCAGACTTACACTTTATGCACGACTGATATGAAAGTACTGAACCAAGTGAAGACCTCTTGTAAATGGAGGAGACTGGGACATAATTATGAAGAGTGATTCAGTAATTAGTAATAGCAAACCGATCTTGGCTGCTGTCTCATACATGTCCATAAAATGTCTTCCAGACCGCAAAGCGGTGGCGACTCACCTGCCGCTGGCCTCCTCCAGGTCCACGCCACAGGAGGAGGAGAAGCTTCTGACTACGCTGGAGGAGTTTGCCGTCAAGTTCAAACCTTAACATCTCCGCAAATGTCTTATTGAAACCAAACACTCCTTAGTAATTATTAATGTTTACGTAATTGCTTATGTAGGCCTTTTTACATTTTTTACTAATACTATAAAATGCTGAACACTGTATTAATGAAGCCTACAGGGACAAATGAATAGATCACTGATGCTTTCCTACAAATGTTACACAAAATGCAATGTCTATATTAATTTCTCATAATATATAAAATATATTGTTTAATTTCAGGCCATTTTGATGGGTGGCTTCCTTTTTGTCTGCATCCATATGGGTTGTGTCTTGAAAGTACATATGCAGGGCCCATTGGAGGCTGGAAAGAGTGTAGCTGACATTTCATTATCCTGGTGAGCTAACAGGCTGTAATAGATGAAATAAAGCCTTAGGTCAGGTTCGGATCTTAAATTTGGCAGCACTGGGTTCAGTCATGTCAGGTCTTAAAATATACAGGTATAGGCCGTGTTCAGGTCTGTTTTAGGCTCATTAAGAACCCCAGTCACTGTTTATCTGTAAGCCATATTGAGAAAGTTTTCAGGATGGTATTAAGTACCAAGAATGACTTCTTGGGTCCCAAAAGCTTGGATAGAGATACACAATTAAGTCTTAATATTCAGTAAAATGGCCAAATCATATGCACTTTAAATGGAAATGTAATTTTAACTTTCATGCTTTGCTGATGTTCACATATTCTCATCCTGAAATACTGAAAATTCAGTAGTTGGTCTCCCTGGCAAATATGTTAAGCTGATTACACAAGTGAAGTTAATAGAACATTTTGACAACCAGTTAATCGTTTAAGTGATTTATCGAGTAAAAATACCAAAAAGTATTCTCTCTGTTTTATATCAGCTGAATGTCTTTTGGGATTTTGGACGGTTGGTCACAGAGTAATTTGAGAAAATCACTTTATGATCTAATAACTTGAGATGATCATTTATCAATATTTCTGACAGTTTATTGAGAATTTATTGTATTATTTGATCAAAAAATGATTAGTGGCTGACTGCTCTTTATCTACTGTGCCACAAAATATGAATCAAAGCAAAGTGTCATTTGTTTGGGGAGTTTTGGAACTAAAGACTTTCTGGATGCCATTTCATAACAATCCTGAATAAATTCACAACAGACTTGAATCACAACACCAACAACATTGCTGAAATTATGTCTTTCTCTGGCTTCAAGAGAAATGTTCTATCTGGACTGTGTTAAGAAACACAAAATTAAGACTGTGAGCTTTGATTGTGACTTTTTCTCCACAGTCTTAACTGTAGAAGCTCTTAAGTATGAGTGGCCTATTGTGTTATTTTTAGACAAAAAAAGAAGCCTTGAAGAAGAACATGAGGGATTTGTGGCAGAAAAACTCAGTGGATGCATAAAATGTGTAACAGGAAACAGACAGCTGCAGAGGAATATGCCCAGAAGTAAAAAAAGGGGGAAAAGAAACTGATGCACATGAATCAGTGTGATCTGATAAAACAAGACAACAAACAGACTCACAGTTGATTGAGTAGGTAAACCTGCCCTTTTAATGTAATTTATGCATACATGGTTATATTAACGGACACACCGGAACACACAACAACGTCTGTTATCTTTCCTGCAACAGAAAAATAGACCACTGGCCTCAAGTGAATATAATCACTTTGACAGCAACAAAACTTTAGGTATTGTATATATAATAGCTTTGTATCTCCTGTGTAGTAGTGTGTTTTTAAACGTTTAAAGGACAAGTGATTTTGCCCATTTAAATCAAATACATGATTTTCTTTTACTACGAGCCACAGTTTTACATTAATATCAGTACAGAATGACAATCAATTTGGTGGAAAGATCGGGAAAAACACATCCTAAAAACCTAAAACTGTACACCATGCATTTGAAACTGGTCTGCAAAGAATACACATGATTTGCCTCAGAAAAACACTGGTACAGGCCTTTAAGGTTTTAGTACCCACAGGCTCACATTCATGAGTGAACAGCTGCTGTAAATGTACCTTTATGGGTAGCCGTGAAAGTGCAGGCAAATGTTTTTCATGAACAGTCAAGCCTATATGTTTTTTCATTTCTCTACTGTTGGATGAAATCTTTTACATAACTGTATGTTTGTTTGAACTATGACAACATCTTTGGAAAACATTTAGTAGGGTTTGAAGATTAGAGGAATTCAACTCAGTTACCGTCTGCTCATTAAAGCACAAACATTATAATCACAAACAAATTCATATTTTCTCTTCACAGCAGCGATTTGTGACGTATTTTTGCTTTGTGATTCCAGTGCATTGACATAAAAGACAGTATACAGTATTGCAACTTTAAAAAAACAAAAACAGTAACAATGAAAAATCAATCAGTGTTCATTAGTTTCCTTTCAGTCCTGATATATGTATGTATGTGCTACCACTGATAAGCTTGATGATATGTGCGTTTGCATGTCGGAAACATTAAGACAACACTTAGAATAATAAATAATCTCGTAAAACAGCCGACAGTAGAGAACATACAAAGATCAGCAAGCAATCTGATTGGTTAATTTACATATTACAAAACTTGACAGGTGTATTTAGGCAAACACTGTGTGTATTTACAGTATCATGACATGGGTCTATAATAAAATCAATGTCCTCTGTATTGACCTAACATCACAAATAGATTCCATATGAAGATATTCAAGAGTGCACTATTCAAATCAAAGACTGCATGTTTTTATGGCTGCACCTTTACAGCAAATGGGATCAGTTTATAGACATTTAGCCGGACGTGAAGTTTTTTTACATTAGTGGGCTTCCACAGGGCTCTCATATAAATGTAGACACTATAAAATTCTTCCCTAAAGTCCTCTCTAGTGGTTGATTTAAGGTACAGTAGCCTAATTAGAGACTCAACTGAAGGGCTTATTTGGTAACATCCAGAGACTTCATGAACAGTTTCCTCAGTTTTTAAATACTTTTATGCCCAATCAAATGTTACTGATTTAAATTTGGTGTATTCAGAAAGTAGATGATTTATTTGCCTCTTGAACATGATAACACGTACACAAAGTGTGAGTGATGTAAGGCACCTGAAACCAGGAGCAGCCGATATGAGACCAGCAGTTTCAGTCCAACCTGTTGCACCCACTGGCAAGAAAAGTAACAGCATTTGAGAGCTGCAGATAAACAAATCCCAAAGTCTGAAACTGCTGTTACTGTCTTTTTCCTGTAGGTGCTGCAGGTTGGCAGGCATGGAAAATGGCTTCCTCTTGGTAGTGCTTCACATCTAAGACGTTTGGGGTTACACGGTACCTGCTGACAGGTGCAGAAATGTTTTGCACTGTTTTGTGAGTTTCCAGTATGAAATCAGCAGGAATGCATGGAAATTAAGTAAATAAGTTGTTTCAATTCCTTACAAAGTCAAATACCTAAATCCGTCTCACACGCTCAAATAGGGTACACACACAGACACACACACAGAGAACCCCCACCCAGCAGCACCCTTCACACAAACAACCCCAACCGTCATTAACCTTGTGTCAACCAAGGCCTGTCCTGTTCCCAGGCTTCACTGGCCCGCAGTGTCCTCACTGTGAACAATCAACAGCCACTGCTTGTTGTTGAATAACTGTTAAATATTATCCAGATGACATCGATATTGTTGGATAAGCTTCTCTCCTTCTCTTCTAAGTGCGACTGCCGCCATGAAACCATCACAGTTTAGTGAACACAGCTTCCAGCTGACTGCCAGTCGCCCACAGACCTCAAGACACCACAGGAGTCATGTCCCATAGCTGCAGACAAACATAAGACACCATCAGTTTGTTGTCAGACAAAGACACAGCTAGCTAGCTACCTCAGACGTTCATGTGTATCTGTTTGGATCTGACACGCAAAACAACATATTCAAATCCATTTATTTATTTTTTCCCCCCTACAAATGTATGCATTGCAAAGCCTCCAAAGTAAAGTTCGGATTATCAGTTACTAAATACACAACTAGCGGATTATTTTAGGTTAGCAGCCAGGTTGACATAAGTGAATCAATTAGATTACAAACCAATTAATTCATATATAAAATGTGCAACAAAAAATTATTTTTTCTGCCTGTAGATGTGATTATGGAAGAACCCGATGAACTACATGACAGACTGATGTATAATATGTAGTGAAACAGCTAATATTCTAAAAATATAAAAAATAAACTCTTTGTGTATACCTCAAAAGGTTCTACACTGTTCATGTATTATTATTACTTACTTCCAGACAACCAAATATAGAGCAACATGATCATTTAGCTTATCAGAGCTGTGAGACTCGCTGCTTTGACACAGTTCATTCATTGTAGTTAAAATATTGCCTAATGTAGGGTTAAATAGAATTTTTAATTTGCATCTGGAGCCAGATGTGACAGACAATCACAGGCTACATTTACCAGATTTGTGTTCATAAGAAAAAAGTAAAGGTGTTCAAAAAGACATGTGTTCCATGTTAAAAAGAAATCCTGGCTCTGAGGGACCGAAGGCCCCAGATACCCCAGTTCACTGTGTGGCAATTACAATGGATTACACAATATAAACTGTGATTATAAGAGCTTTTGGTGGATTTTGCATTTTTACTCCTTTTTTTGTGTGGCCCTGTGTCACAATCTAGTTTCAATACATTTAATTTTCAGTTGCTACAATTCTTGTGTAAATTCCTAAATAAATTTATGTTTGAGCAAAATACCTGGCCTGACAGGTACCTAAACATAATATGGGGGAATCAATACAGCCCGCCACCCCCAGCAGCTTAAAAAGCCCTTAATCATGCTAAATAAGAGACAATAACCTTCTTGGCAGAGTTAAAAACTGCTAAATGTGTGTGTGCTTGCATGTCTTATCTGAGACTTATGAATACAACAGATACTGTTTGTTCCCATCCAGACCTTGATAACCTTGTCGGTGCCAGAGGTGAGCAGATTTCCAGTGGTGGGCTCATAGTGCATGTAAACAATGCTGTGCTTGCTGTCATGGAAGGTGGCTGTGGGCGCTCGACTAGAAGACACAAAGGGAACGCCGGTTACTTTACTGTGTGAGCGCTTCAGGAGGCTGAGCGCACAAAGAGTCAGTATATGACAACAACAGAGGCTGATTGTTACTCACTCCTCGTCAGTGATGGACTCGTGGCAGCTGTCACACACACGCACCTCGAACTCGAAGCCCATGAGGGGGATGGTGGAGCGTTTGGACGAACATTTGCCGCACACTGCCTGGCCACAC